TTATAAAAAAGCTATACATAAAGATATTTAAGTGCAAAAGTAATATAAATATTTTGGTCGATAAAATATTCAATGTACATTTCGCTAAGAATGCTACATGCACATTATTTTATCGATTACACTATTTATATCAAATTTTTGTTATTAAAAAACTTGAGACCTTTAGCATGCATTTGTAGAGAATAATGCACGTTCAAATTCTATTGATTTTCAACGAATTTTAATAGTTTGATATTAGTTTTAAAATAAAATAATATATTAATGTTCTGATGAACATGAATCAGATAAACGAATTGTATCTCCTTAAATATAGTTTTATAATCGGGATTTTTTTTTACAAAAAAAATCGATCTTTCTTTGTACAAGCTGTTCTGAATTAACCGCACTATCTTTTTTAATCTGAGTTGCTTTTCTAAATTACTTCTGAAATAATTTTTCAAATTTATCAAATCTTTGATAGAGGAGAAAGGAAAAACGATACTTCTTTCTCTTTTTCTCATATTTTTTTAAATATGTCAGTAGCCAAACTTCAAATTAAGGTTCGTCAAAATTCATTAAAAATCGTCCAAAGATCAAATTTTTAACGCTCATTAGAGTTCAAATTTTAATTTTTGTCTAAACTTTGGTAATATTGCACAAGTACTTGCCATGCTTTAGGTGCCATGAAACCATTCGGAGGATTCTGGCCTGTCTCTGCTAATCCTGCAAATAAAATAATTAATGTTGAATCATACGTACAAAATTTCGAATTTCAAAAGTTTCAGTATTATATACAATTTTTCAATTTTTTAAAACATCTTGAAAAAAAATATAACAAAAACATATTGAGATAATTTGTAGGATAAATTCTATAATGTTAATCGTATGAATATAAAGATCAGGCGTAAAATTTATATTTTAATTTTCTGTTTTATCTTCGCTTTTACCTTGCTGTACCTTGTGCTTATCTTTGTTTTTATATTATTTTATTATTAATATGTGTCTATTTTGCTTAATTTTGCTTTTAGTATTTATCTTTCACTAATCATTTTTCTTATATTGTTCATATATATTTTATAGAATATTAAAACTTATGTATTATAGAATATCATAATCAAAAACTCACCTCGCATCTTTGTTCCCGAAATAAATTCAAAATCTTGCTTTCGCTCAGGTTCGAAGAACGTCATTTTACCATTCCGTATATCATAAGCGGCCACTTTAAATGGAATGATCTCGAGATTATGAAGCCCTCGGGCCATGGAGAGTACTCTGGCGCCATGAGTGGGATCATACAAATTGCCGTCAGGCGTGGCATCTTTGTTTGGATGTGGTATACCCGCAGGATCCCTACCTACGATGTAAAAATTGGCGCCAGCGTTCATCCTAGCCTTTGCGTGCCATTGCACCTGCATAAAAACAATTGTGTTTAGTTCATTTATGTTACTCACAGTAAGTACAGTAAAAGATGCAAGGGATTACAACAGAAATAAAGTCAAAGTTTTGTTAGCAAACCGGCTGAAATTAAAAGTCAAATTATAACTAAAGCTAAGGCTCGTTAAACTAGTTACAATTTTCACCTCAATTGGTCCAGCATACATCATCGGGCTGGGAAAGATGGCTAGCAACGTAGAATTAGCATCCAGCACACCCTCGTCCAGAACGGCCTTATGCTGCAGAATCCTGGTGTATAGGGATACATCGTCTTCTTTCGTCCAGCCACCTAGCGGATGAAGTAGCAGCACAGGATTTTTGAAACCACGCTCCTCCAACAACAGTCTTTTTGTATCCTTATGTGATAAACAAGGTGATTTTCATTTATATGTTGTTATATGAAGGAAAACGATTTGCTTTGAACATATGATATACCTGCATAAGAAGCGCATGTCCATTGTGAATGGGGTTTCTTAGCTGGAAAGCAAATACAGCGTCAGCTTTCATTTTTCGACATCTGGCACGTATCTCATTTGGCGTGAGTCTGTATTTGTCGAGTCCATCGTACCATTTAATCCTCTCCAACACTTCAAGGTCGCCACCCATCAACCAGTCGCCAGAATCGTAAATCATCCTGACGTAGGGATGACCTAAGTTGTTAGTGCCAAACTGCCAACTGCAACGCTCCTCTTTTCGATGGAAATAAAATTCCGGTCTTCGTAGGATGGCCAAAGCTTTTTGTTTGTGCCTCAAAGTCACAGCAAGAGAATTTTCCAAACGGTTCTTATCAATCGTGCTTATTGCAAGGACAATTGGCACCGATTGGTTCACTTCTTTGCCATCTTCGAGCAAACACCGCAAGTGTTGAGCCTTAAAGAAAAGAAATTATAATGATTCAATGATTAAGTTGATAGATAAAATCACATCACTTAATTTTCAGGTAACACATATGCGGGATGTAATCATGTTTCAAGGTTGCTTCAAGTATACCTGAAGATATTGATGTTCCCTCATAAAACCTGTTAATGGTGTCGCCCATCCTTCTGCTAAAACTTGCAGCCATTGCACGTCGATTTCATTAATATCCACGCATTGTAGAGTTTCTGCTTCCATTTTTGCAAAAGCTAGCTTAGAATCCGGAACAAAAAGCTCCTTGATTAGATCTGATGGTTTTGCAAACGGCGGAATGATACAGTGCTTCTCTAAAAGCTCAATTACAGTCGAAGCAGACTCCTCAGGAGTGCAATTCTCGGTCTTTACAATTAAATCAGGTTTCGTGGGTCTCTCATACATTTGATCAATGCCAGTGAAACCTTTAATGGTACCCTGTCGCGCTTTTTTGTAAAGGCCTTTAGTGTCGCGAGCTTCACAAATTTGCAAGGGTGTATCTACAAATATCTCGAAGAAGGGCAAGTCAGCTTCTTTATGAATCTGCCTTGCCATCTGTCTATCTTCTTCAAAAGGTGACACGAAGCTGCAGAGACATATTTGTCCGCTGTCGGCAAAGAGTTTTGCTACTTCAGCCACTCTTCTAATATTTTCTTTTCTATCTTGCTTGCTAAAAGTTAGATTGCAATTTAGACCACTCCTAACGTTGTCGCCGTCTAGGCCGTAGGCAGGAATACCATGATTCACTAAAATTGCTTCCATTTGAAACGAGATGGAGGTCTTGCCAGCACCAGAGAGACCAGTTAGCCATACAGTGCAACCTCGAAAACCACGAATACAGCCTATAGCTTGTCCCCGTTTGGCTCTGGATACGTGATGCGCTTGCTCCGATACGTTTGCGCAGGTCTAAAAGAATTTTCAAAATTTTATAAAATATATTCAAGTTCAAACATTTTCACAATTTTATTATTTGGAAATAATTTCCTGAAGAAATAGAATGTAATTTGAAATATCAAAAGATTTAATGTGTTTGTTGTGTTTTTCTCAAGGAGAAACTATCTCATTTCGGACTAAATGCAAAAAGTTTGTCGTGAAATATTATCACTCTTAACTTGATATTTTTTGATGGACATGTTAAATTTATATAATTAGAGATTTCTACATTAATTTTTTGATTGATTAATACAATTCTTTTTAGTATAAGTGTCTGAAATTTGTGCTAACAATACTTGCTGTAATATTACATGTATTTTTACAGTTAAATAAATATTTATTTCAATATTTATCTATGCTCATGGATATGTTAATTTCAAAGAAAATTATTCAAAAAGAGAGGACAGGTATAATTACAATTTCAAATGAATCTTCGAAAATGAAACTTTCCATAAAAGGTTCGATTCCATGTTTTAGACAACATAGATTTCTTCATAATTTAATCAATTTCTCTTCCATATAGTGTCATCCATAACGAATCATCCTATATAAAATAAGACATTAAGTCTTTCGACAGACAAACAAGGTATTCTTATTTTTTTCAAATTTAATTTTGTACCATGGTTAAACAATAAAATATTTAAATCTAAAATCTGATTGTTCCTATTTATATCTGTACTCTTGTACTTTTTGTATTTAAGATAAATACAAAATATATACATACATGCATATATTTTGAAGAAAAAGATGAAAAAAAAAAGATAATAAAAAATTAATTTGGTACATATGAAATACAGTAGATATCAAGCTAAAGAGAATTATATACGTAATCCATACAAAGCAAATATAAACCTTGTTTTATAGGCTTTATTATATAATTTTAATCTAATCATGCTGTACGAGGCGAAAGAAGTGATATTGCATGAAATAAACGTACCATCAGCTTTTTATTTGGTGGCGGTGCGATACTCTGCTCGGCATTACTCGACGACATGATTGCAGCTGCTGGCAGTTACAAGTTTATGAGCATATACGTGGCAATTGTGTTAAATGCGATCGAAGGCGACAAGTACGATAACGGATGACGGTTTGTAATTCCATGTTGACAATCACCGACGTTGATTGCATTGCGTTGCGATTCACTAAGCTGTCTTCGTCTTCTTCATCCTTGATTCGCTCCGATTCCGTCATCGGAGTCGATTAATAACCAGATATAAGATTCATTAAATTGTACTGTACTGCATCAATAATGCTACGAAAGTAGCGCAAAGATATTAACCATATCGAAACCTGAGTCAAAAGGTGAGAACGAGACCATTCATCATTGTATGGGCATCGCCATATTGAAAATTAGACCCTAGATACTAGCACTATCTGAATTTAAGGAGCAAAACTACTTAAATATATATGAATCATTAGTGAATTGAGACAACTTTTAATTAGTATTTTTAATAATTTCTACACTTTTAAATTGATTTGCTATATTTTTTTTACAAATGATGCAAGGCGATTTCATCATTTTTATAATTAAATTTATTAATTATTGTTAGAAACTATAACACTCTAATAAATGCTTTTACCGACGGTAGGGAAGAAGAGAATGTAATACCTCCTAAGTTCAGAGGTGCTAGTTGGTCTGTTTTCTGTTCCTGCACTAGACTGTTCTAAAACTATCTTTCTCGCTTTAAACAAATATCAAAAGTCTCACTTTAAGTTCCAAAAGTGTACACTAGTTCATCCACAGAAGACAGACGAGTAGACCTAGTATTTAATATGGCGCAGGCCATATGATATATGATAACATCGTCGTAACGATTGTTCTCAAGCTATTTTCTTTAGGTTAGGATTTCTTATTTTTAATCTTATTATCTCGTAATTACATTTGTTATTAATCTTTGTATGTAAATATTTGACATACAGTGCATCATTGTTGCTACTATTAACATGCGACTGTCAACTCGATTTAATTTTTTTTTAGATTCTACGATCTCTATAATTACTTGTTCCTGAATAAGAGACTGTCAAGTGCTATCTCGTGCTCATTTCTCAGTGTGGTATAATTGAGTTGTAAAATATTTGCAAATATGTTCCCCTTACACATATTATCGAAGTAAGTACATTTGCACTATAATATTGAAATTAACAGATAGTTAAAAATATTGTGTATTAAGATGTCTGTCGAGAAAGTTGTCTATGGCTTAATGTGTAGAATTTTTATTATAATAAGCATATAATAATGAAATATTGTATAATTGAACATGATTATATATCTTCAAGGGTAATGAGTCGTATAGTTATTTTCAATTTATATTTTATCTACATAGTTTGTCATTTAAAATTTTTAAATTAAACTAAACTAGATCTTTATTTTTTTATATACATACGTGCAGTTATGCTGTATAAAATGATTTATTATATTATTATTGATTTATGTTTTTATTAGACTTGTATTATCCTATATAAAATACTATCTATGAATTTATAAATTTTGTTATTATATCAAGAAATATATTTCACAGATGTAATATAAGATCCTCAAGCGGAATATTATTTCAATGGATAAATATTTCCACAAGATTGTGCTCTTCATCTTCATCATCATCAGATTCATCAGATTCTGATTCTGATTCTGAAAAAACAAAACCAAAGGCAACGCATGTTAAAAGTGCAAGTTCTGCAAGTGCAACATCAGATAACAAATATGATTTGGAAAACTTTTTGAATAACATGATACAAGTAAATTATGAGATGTTTGTGTAATATCTATTTTAAATTCTGTTAAATCCAGAATATATTATTTTATCTCTATTAGGAATCTCTATTATTTTACTCTATATTTAGTAAACTATACAGAGATATTAACAATAAAAGTTCTTACTTTAAAAAAATAATAAAAATAATAAAAATTTTCTTTTTTAAAAATGTTCTAATATTTAAAAATAATTTTTTTTTAATTATTGCATTTAAGAACACAGAAATCAAACTGAGTATTTAAATAATAATTATGCTAAATTGTGTTATATTTTAAAGTAAAATGTTAATACATTTAAAAGTAATATATAATGAGATATTTTTTAGAGACAAATGTAAGCTAGTATATACTTTAATGAAGATATCTGTTATTATTTTCTTAGACGAGAAAGACGCAGAAAACTATTGATGTTGCCATGCAACCTAAAAAGAAGAAGGATAAATCAAATAAAAAACATGAATCTTTTGGTAACTTTATCTATTGATAATTCTATCTTTGTGCAGGTTCTCGTCTTGCCTAATATGTTAAATTATTTTTTTTTGTAGAAAAGAAAATTGTAAGTGCGGCAGAAGGTGTGGCTAACGTGCTTGGTGGAGATAAAACCAAAACAACGTCAGATTTGCTTGAAAAAGTTCTTGCATCTAGAGTAACAGCATTAAAAGAAGAACAGGGAAGCACGTATGTAGATATATTGTTGCATCACTGAGTACAATAAATTATATATATTACATATAGTAATATGTATATGTTTACACATATACATTACTTGTAATTCTATAAGTTTTTTTTTTTAATATTTTTATGATATAATTTTATTTAACAGTAAAATGCAGAAAAATGTTAAACAATTGGCAAATTACGATGTAAAAAAAAGTTCCCAAGACGAACATTTAGAAAAAAAGTCTATAATACAAACCCTGCTGGACGAATATAATAACCAACCAATAAAGAAAGTAATTGAAAATAGTGTATCAAGAAAGTTATTACAAAGTGTTAAAGCATCTAAAGAGAAGTTACAGGATACTGATAAAACAACACCTCATACCAGGTATTGCACGAAATATAATATTAATTATTATATTATAGAGATTAAATCCATTCATTTATACAAATATCATATGGTATTATTTATTATATTATATTATAATCTAACATATTTAGATATTTTAATATATTTTAAATATATATTTAACGTAATTTTTAATTGATTGTTATATGATAGATTCAAAGATATCGATTTATGGAATGGAAAGCCTAGTGACATTTTTGAAAGTATGAATGCCGCTTCACCAAATATACCGGAACTGAAAACATGGGCGGCATTAGAACAAAGAGAATTAAAAACATTAACAACTTATCCACCTGCCAATGTTTTTCAAGAATTAATTCTTTGGACGGAGCAAGGAAAATTATGGAAATTCCCTATTGACAATGAGCAAGGTTTCTACTACACGTACTTATATATTATGTTCTTCTGGCACTTGGAAAAACTGAGTTTAATTTCTATATATTTCAGGAATGGAAGAAGAGCACAATGTTCATTTCTCAGAACATGTCTTTATGGAACGTCATCTAAAAGGATGGTGTCCTAAATCAGGACCAATTCGTCATTTTATGGAATTAGTATGCACTGGACTTTCAAAGAATCCATATTTGACAGTTCAAGAGAAAATTGGACATATTATGTGGTATAAAGAATACTTTGAATCTAAACAAGATTTGTTGCAAGAAGTAGGAGCAATTCAGCAGCCATTCTCTGACAAAATAAAAGAAATTACAAAATAAAATAACGTATATGTTAGTATATTCTACAATTTTAATGTATTTCTTATTTCCAAATTTCTCCTTTTACATCCCCATACATAAATATATTATAAATGTTCTTTAAAATGTACAAAATGCAATTTTATTATTGACATGCAAAAATGTTTAACTCTAAATTATAAATATGAATCCTCATAATCTTCAATTAGTAAGTTTTTATCTACAGATAATTTCATTTGTATACTGTCATTCACAGGATCCATTGATAATATCACAATTCTGTTTACAACTAGCAATCCAGGATTATCCATACTTTGATGTAAAATTAAATCGATTTCATCTCCTATTTTCATCTGTTAAAATTATTCCATGTATAATTGTACAAGATATAAAGATAATAATAATCTTACTAAGACTATATCAACAGGTTACAGTTTTATTACAAAAATAATAAACTTACCTCTTTAGATTTCTTTAATACTTTATTTCCATTTATACGAATCTTGCTTGAATAAAAGGCCTCGTCAATTTTACTAAGAAAAATGTGAAGTAAATAAAATTTAAATAAAAATATAAATTATGAAGCAATGTTAAATTTGTACAAATATAGTACACAAATAAAATTAGACATACTTGCGAGAGATTCCAAATCCAGCTTTGGAAATGGTATCTAATCGAATAGAAGATATTCTTACTTTGACAACTTTTGAACCTATGAGAGTTTCCTTCTCATCATCTTTTTCTTTTTCCTCGTCAGAATCCTCATTCTCATCTTTTTTCTGCAATATATTTTCAAAGAGAATATATTCATCTGTGTTTAAAAGCTTACCGGAGGAACAAACAAATGGAAGATATTAAATAGGTCATATTAAGGAAAAGAAATTAAATAAATTATATTAATTACAATATTAGCAGCCTTCTCTTTGGATTTGAATCTTTTTGCTATGTACAAGTGACAATGATTTTGTACACTATTTGGTTTTGCATCGCCATTACAAAAGAGATTTGATTGTAAAGGATCTCGTAGGCGACAAAGTGTACGCGCATTGTAACACACCGATCTCCTAATAATATTAACTGTCACTTTGGATAACATAACAACTTATCCAATCACAATTTGGAATATCTACTTATTGGTTAGATAACCTTTCACAATGGAGCAAACGTGTTTAATTGTATCGAGTTCTTTTCCTGTCGTATATTTATTGAAAAAATGCAAAATATGGGCGTTTTTAGCCATAAAATATTATAAACATTAATTATTCATCCTTAATTATCTCAACTTTTAAGATTAATCGCTAAATTAAGAGATGTAAGGGGCTCCGTACAATAAAAGAAATAGGGAACAGAGAATAAAAATTTCAACCTATCAGAAATCATGTCAGTGGAATACGCAGGTGTATTTCACAATACATGATTTCTAATAGGTTGATGTTCTTATTCTCTGTTTTCTGTACCTTTTATTGTGCGGAGCCCCTAAGTTTACTTTGTATCTGTACTCTACGGAAAGAGTGTACAATGGACTTATCATTCTTCCTCTTTTTCTTTCCAATGTCTAATTTTATATATCCATCTTATTTTGAGTGCAGAAAGCGCGACGCAATGTAATTATAAAGAACAATGTAATTATAAAGAACTATCTATCACTGCATCCATCAGCAACAAGATAGTATTATACCTTGGAGATTTCTAAATAAGAAAGCAATCCGTGACGAAAATAAAAACCAGAGCATAAAAATCGAATGTAGGGAAAAGTAACGATAAAATCGTAAACGATAATTCATCATTCAGCTAGGTTTGCCTAAAAAATCTTTATATCTTTTCTAAACATATATATACATATTTATATCGAAAATTATGGAGATTAAATAATTAACATTTTTTTAGACTAATCTATTAAATTATAGAAATTACAAAATTACTATATAAAATATATGTAGTTCATATATATGTATATATTATATAAACTATCGAGTGCGAGCGTGGCATAGCAGGCAGCGCATAAGACTGCTACTACTACTATACCAGAGATTCCGAGTTTCGATCAGGGATGCCAGACCTTTCGATCTCAGGCAGAACCAAAAAAATGTTTTTGAACGCTCGCAGCCCTTTCTCGGAAGGCAATAGCAAACCACCGAGAGTATCTTTGCCAAGAGCACTTCTGTTCAAGCCTTGTGTCCACGATGCTAGAAATCGGTCCGAGATCTCGGATGAAGAAAGCATTGACCAATCGCAATGGTCATGTGATCAAATTGTTCAAATGTGATACTAGACAGGGTGGCACCCAGTTGGACACGGCTCAATTGAACACGAGTCACTCACAGCGCTTGAAACTACAAAGCTCCTAAGCACCGGTCGCTGTGATTGGTGGTGTCCAATCGAACCGTGGTCAATCGGGATCACCCCTTTTGACATTAAGTACATTTTTTTTCATGACATTGGTAATTACCAATTGGTATAGCGCTATGTCACTAAAAAAACATGTGTTTAATGTAAAAAAATCATTTTAAGAAATCATTCATATAATATTAAAAATTCATATTATGAAGTATGTTATGAATTATCTCAAAATTTAAACTCATTTAAAAATTCATATTATGAAGTAATGTTATGAAGTATGTTATGAATTATCTCAAAATTTAAACTCGTGCTTTGCGGATCACAAGTCGAAGATACGTACATTCCGCTGTATTTTATATTAAAGTTGTTTAAAAACTTGCACGCTTATAAAAGGTTACGTTAAGTAGATCCTAGTCCAATATTTGTATTTACTTTTTGCAATCGAGTGGGACCTCAAAAGATTGTTCGTGTCTTAAAAAATTTAAAAGAAGGTTTCATTATTTTTACACTCGCTTTTTATCCAAAATTCACAAAAAAATTTGAAAATTATGACGATTTTTCAAGTCGAACCTTCCACCGTACTTTCGAAACCGATCGAGTATAAAATCTGAAAAAAAAATGTTAATCGGAGATATTCAATTTTTGTATTATGTGTAATGTTAATCATTTTTTTCGTATATAAACGAACATATATTTTTATTTTCATTTATAGAAATAAAACATGTAATATGTAAATATGAAAATATAATAAACTTGAAAATATAATAAACTTGAAAAAAATTGTCATGTATTTATTACGTATCGGCGTCTTGTTACTATTCGTATACGACATATATGAGAAAAGTGTGTACTAGTGATAAATGTAAAATAAATGTGAATTAAATCTAAAATAAATATTAAAGAAACGTGAAAAGAATATATATTTAAGTTAAATTACGTGTGCATGTATGTTACAAAAAACTATAATAAATGTGGAATAAATGTAAAATAAATGTGAATTAAATATAAAATAAATAGTAAATGAACGTGAAAAAAATATTTGTTATATATATATTACAAATGACTAATAAATGTGAAATAAATGTAAAATTATTAATTCGAGGAGTAGAAAGTAATGTTCTAGGATCACTAGGTAAAGTCGAATGACCCCCCGATGATTTTAATATTTTCAATAAACCTCTTAGTGCACTATGACTTATATTATTAGTAATAGCCCATAAACGTAAATCTTTTTTAAAGTCATTTTCGTTATTATTGTTGCTAATTGAGGAATTTAAACTTTTTACACTGCTACAAGACATATTTGGTGAACTATCATTAAAATGATTATGTGTATTAATAGAAATATTTTCTAAAACATCATCAGAAATCTCATTAAAATCAATATCATCGTTGTCATTATTATTAGTTTCAGTATTGATATTATTAGTATCATCGTTATTGTCAATGTTATTATTAATATTTGTAGTATTCTGCAGTTGTGAAAGTTCTAATAAAATAGCTGTATTGTGACGTAACTTTCTATAAAATGTTGTTTTTGAATGTTCCATATTTTTATACAATATAGTAATTAATAAAAGATAAATAATGTTAAATAAATAATGAATATACGATATACAACACTACTATACATACAACTATTATACATATGCATATAATATTCGATTACTACATGTTTTCGAAGACAATATATTATTAGATATGCAACTATATACTGATTTGGGATAACGAAAGTACAAACTACAAATATTTAGTTAATTATGTGCAAGATATTAAGATTCGAGAAAAAGTGTAAAACAAACCTATAAAACACACAGTACATGGAATAGAGAATCAACATAGAAAATTCTGTTAGATAGACTTCTTCCACATAGAAAATTCTTCTTCGTGTCCTCTGGATTTATGTTTTACTTCAGTGGATTAAATTATCATGATTTCTTGGACGAATGTGAAATTATAACTGTCTCCTTGAGGACAAAGATGGCGGAAAACATACAAGATCGAGACGCGTGGTCACGTAACTGGTCACATGACTATGAGGAAGAATTTACTCTGATTAATCACAGATCGCAGCACAGGCGTACAGTGTCCTCTGCTGAAAAGAATATTCCTAGAACATTCAAAATGTTCAATTAAATTTTGAATGTTTTAGGAATATTTTATAAATATTCAATATGAATATTCTCGGAAAAGAATATTGATACGGACATGGAATATTCATAGAATTTTGTGTGCTATCTGGGTTAGTTGACACATGAATTTTAAATTAAATATTTTTTAAATGTTTAATAAATGTTTTTTTTGCAATGGTAACCTACAAATGTAAAATCAAAATGAAGAAAAAATATTTAAAAAACATTTAATCAATGTGATCTGCTGATTGGGCACCCGATCATTGAATAATTTTTTACTCAAATACTATCAACTTTACAGAAAAATTGTAAAAGACAAAAATTATTTATTTTCTTCTCATAAAGTTCTAAGAATTTTTTCAGAATTTTTTCAGAATTTTTTAACACCGTATTTTCTCATGTTGGTAAAAATAAGAAAATGCAGTACTAAAAAGTTGATAAAAAATTCTGAAAAAATTCTCAGAACTTTATGAGAAGAAAATAAATAAATTTTGTCTCTTGCAGTTTTTCTGTAAAGTTGATAGTATATCAAACATATAATATTACATATGATATTATCGATGCGTTGCAGCGCGATTGCATCTTCCGCGCCACTTCTACAGTTTACTGGTATTGTGGATT